TCGCTACTCGTAGCTCCTGGCCATACTACTAGTAACAAGAAGCTACTAGGAACTAAGGGGGGGTTCGGCGTTGAGATTGCAACCCGAAGATTTCGAGCCCAAAGCAATCTCTGACAAGCGATTCTCCGACCGACCTCCTGCCCAGCATCTCTCCCGGTGAGAGGCAAGACCGTCACGTTCTTACCCGCTTGGCGAGCTTGGTGCATGATGTGGCTGCCGTTCTGCTTCTTCAGCTCCAAGAAGAGTAGCTCTCCCTCACCTCAGACTCGGAGCGAACAGAGTGAAGTTCCGGGCATCTGAAGTTCAGGGACCATCCCGATGAACGTTGGTTGGAAGAAATCGGGATTAGTGGAAACACTTCAACGAACTTCTATTCCACTTCAATGACTCGTCGAGGTTGCAGCAATCACTTGATTTTGGCAACTGCCCGCCTTGATCTCCCAAAATTGCATCAATGGCCTGTGAGAACCTGACCCTCTCCAAAGTGTGCTTCGTCCAATACTCCAGACCCAACTTGCGAAGCTCAAGCTCGCATCCCTCCACAGTGGAAAAGAACTTTGGGAAAGTCTGTGAAGCTGTATGCTCACAAGGCGGAGAGCTTTGGGCTGGCTTGAACTTCTGCTTGAAGGACTCTGCCGCAGGCTTACACAGCTCTGGGTGATGGTATGCAGCAGGAACCTTCTCCAGGTCCATCCACCTCTCCTTCGACGGCATGGACCCCTACCAAATCACAAAGACCCCTACCCAAACCCATCCCAGGCGCTCCAAAACCCAAAAACACGCCTGAAACTGGGGCTTCAGCTGGCGCATCGAATCCTTCGGGCCGGTGAGGGTGCAACAACGGTCGCTGTTTTGAGCAGCGATGTGAATTTTGGCGGAGTCGACCATCATGTTTTGGTTGAACTTCTTGAGGATTCCCTCAACGTCTGCCACCTAAGAGACAACGAGAAACATGCATCCGGAACGCTCCTTTTCAGCAAAGACCTCGCCTTACAAACCCATTCCGAAAGCGGAAACCCACCAGGAACTACGCAGTTCAAGGTCTCACCAGGTGAACAAATACGGCCAAGTAGAAACGCTGAGACGCTGAATACGCTAGGTGTTCTAGGAAAGCAGCCATTCAAGACCTTTTTTTATATTTGGGGCTCTATAAAATGATCTTGTACAGGTTCCACTGCGAGTTACAATAAATTGGGGGAACAAAAACCATAAAGAAGCATTTTCTAAAGGCGCTGGAAAGAGTTATTCTTGAACCAGCTTGATCACTAGCAGACCTGGAAATAATGACCATGTCCTAGAGCTTATCAGTTCTCAAAATAGATTCAGATAAATGTTTGTTTTGTTATTCTGCTGTTTTGCAAAACGTCTAGAAAGTGATCCTGCACCAACTCACATGTCGAATGATGTTCAACCTTGAGACATCTTACTAGAGAATGCCCTCTAGGAATTGCTCAGCTGCTCCCACCGGCCCCCTGCACTGCCAAGCAACGGCCATCTCTCGCACCACTGCCATGCCTCCATCTGGCCGCACGTTGCCATCCACCTTTGCCAACCTTGGCTGCTTGCTATACAACATGGCATCAGTATTGCCCCTTGATTGGGTTGCAGCCTGTGTCTTCCAAGGAGGACTGCCAAAAAAATACTCGGAGTTGGCCAAAAAGCAGCACGTGCCGAATTATGTTGACAACAGGTCAACACCGAAATGTCTTGGTGTTTGCATTCCATTTTGGGAGGAAAACATTTCAACATGTGTTTTTGGATGGTGCCTTTTGGTGTTGGGAACCAATATCGGTTGCTGCCTCCCGGGCCTAAAATTGCGCTTTGATGATCGATAGGAACTCAAGCATCAAGTATGCACCCTGAACTCAAAACATGTATGGTCGGAAGCAGCACATGCGTTCGAGGAGATGGACAAGTTGTCCGTCCAAAACAGATCAACACAACAAGTCAGAACACATGAGGCACCGCACGTGGGCCTTCCTTGTGTGCATGTCATCGCGCGGTGGGATGGAGTGAATGTGGCCTATGGAAATTTCAACACTTCGGACTCACAAACATCAGGGACAAGGGTGAGGCCGGGTGGGATGCATCAAATTGGAATTGTTCTCGAAACCTGTGAGGGGCGAGCCAACTGGGAATGAGACGATGCAAAGAATTCGCAGCTTAACCAGGTCACAGCATCCATGCACTACTTTTGCGGCACAATGGCTGTTGTACATTCAGACTGGGAGGTGCGTTGAAGATGTGACTGTTCTTTTGAGCGTTCTCACGGTTTTGAAACTCCAGTGGTGTGTTCCAATTTGGGACGCCCTGGTTTCTTAGGCGCTTGCCGAGGGACAAAAGGTTAACTGCATCCTGCAAAGTCAGGGCGCCAGCCAGGTATGCACAGGGCAGCTCCCCAGCACTGTGCCCCACAACTGCATGAATCTGAAGACCTAGACCCTGCAAAAGGTCCGATAGAACCATCGAGAACGCGAAGAGCATGATTTGTTGCTCCAAAACGGATTCCGGAAGCTTTTCTGCAGACAGCAAGGCATCTAGCTCCAGGTCCTGCCCGCTGAGAGCTTCCTTTAGCTCCTGGAACTTTTGTTCTGCGATGGGGAACGCTTCCAGTGTCCTTGGCAACAAAGAAAGAAACACCAATAGCCAATGACCAAGAGTTTCTCAAACCTAAAACAGAAAAGCTCCGCTCTACTCCCACTCAGCTCCACCATGTTTCTTCGACAGCATCTTTGGCACTTGACATCCATTGCCAGGCACAACTAGCACCAATCTCTTGGGCTTGGTTGTTGAAGCTTCCGGTTCTTCTGCCCCATCCACGCTGGTCTTCAAGCTGTTCGCCAGCGCGTCGCGGGTCTGGTCTAGGAAGGCCTTTCGACAGGCGCGAACCTCTCGGTAAGCACTTTGCCGAGCCACCTGGTAGAGCTTTGCGTCACTGAAGTCTGTCTCCAATTCCTTGCACAAGTCATCCATCGACACTCTCAAAGAGCCCGGGCTGTGAGATGAAATTGGCACCACAATCGGCGTCCGAACATGTCTTGAGAAAGGCGAGGGTCCTGCGTCGTCTTCAAGCTGGGCTGGTGGAATCAATGCCGCGTGCACGTTGGTACCGGAGAAGCCAAAGGAGTTGACCCCTACGCCCTGGATCTGCAGTGCTTGGAACTCCGTTGAAAGGATCAAACCTTTTCCACCGGTCTCCAAGTTAATGGACTTCTTGGGGCTCCAGAAGCCAGCTCCATGTGGAAACATGCCAGACAACTGCACGACATGAACAGCCTTGATCAAACCAGCAAGTCCCGCAGCGGATTCGGTGTGGTTGATGTTGGACTTGATCGCTCCAATTGCAACTCCTGACCCATTGGGCTGTCCAAACATCCTGCCGACGCTCTGAACTTCAATGGGATCACCAATTGGAGTACCTGTGCCATGGCATTCAACGGCCTGGCACACAGCCGCCCGGCCCTGCCAAGCCTTTTTCATGCAGCTCAGCTGCTGGTCTGGAGAGGGCTTCGTGATGGTGTCTGTTGACCGGCCATCGTTGTTTCGGCAGATGTTGAGGAGTTGCGCGTACGGGACACTGCAACCTGCCCCAGAAAGAAACGAATGACAAGGTGAGCACCGGCTTCAATTTCACACATTGAATAAGATACACGAAAGTAAGGAAAAGAAGACTCTGGTATTCACTCCATTTCTCGCTTTCACTGACCTGCTTATCAGCCCTTTCACAGACCCAAAAATGACTCACCTCACTCTATCAAGCAATTTTCCTGAACCGCGCCTGCGGACATTGTCAGGGCAACAGCAGCGACTCCCTCTCCCCGACCATAGCCCTTCCCATCTTGATGGAAACTCATGCACCGATCACTGATCATCCCTAGGTCTCCGGCAAGTGAAACCAGAATTCCCCAACCCTGAAAACTAGACAAAGATGACTGCACTCAACAACCAAGTCAGAAGCAGACAAGGTTCGAGCTTTGTTCAATGCAAAAGGAATCTTCCAACTCAAGATGGCATTCACTCCTGCATTCCCAGCAAGGCAAGAGGCCAAGTGCATTGCAATCATTTCACTCTCATTGCATAGAAGCCTATCTCCCTCTTCAACCATCAAAAAAATCCTAGGACTAAACTATTCGAAGAACATGCTCCCTTGGTGGACTGTTGAACAAATCCGACCAAGAAACCAATGGCTATGGCTCCCTCCGCACCCTTCTGCACTTCGGACTCTGCAGAGGCCAAGGCAGATAAGCCAGATGCGCAGGCAGTGTCGATGCATTCAGACGCCCCTCGAAAGTCAAAGGCAAAGGACCTCAGGTTCCCGCAGTGTTGGAACTGAAACGCTTTTCGATGGAACTGAAAGAAATCAAATGGATCTAAGCTAGCCGGATGGTTGCAGGCTTTCTTGCTCCCCGAGGCACACAGCACCATTGATCATGCTCGATGCGTTGCCAGCAGCTGTGTACCCATTGCAGGCTTCCATGTTCCACCTTGATATGAATATGACGCAGCGTTACAAACAAAGTGCTAATATGTTGAATGTGCCATCACCAAAGGGTGGCCTCACCAAAGGCCTAACTAATCAACAAAAGCTATTGCATGAGCAATTCTAGGCCCTCCTGCAAACGAGAAGAAACAACCTCCTTTGCACCATCAGCAACACAGCCACCACCCACAGGCAAACTACAAGACATGATGCAAAGCCAGGCCACATCAAGTTGCTGTCCAAGTTCATTGCACCAACAAAGACAGCAACCTCTGTCATGCGCTCCTTTGTTGTGGCAGCAGACCAAGAGCAGAAAGAAGACACACTGCGAGCGTAGATACAGCATGTTTGAATTTAAATCCTTTCAATTTTCTGTCTGGACAGGATAAAGTTCAATTGAAAACCCTATAGGACAAAACAGGACAAACATTCTTGCCCGATGCTCCTTGTGCTTGAAGAAGCCTGCCGAATTGCATGCTTCAAAGGCAGACTCCAACGCCAAGAACTGCTGTGGATCTTGGCTTTTCACCTGAGTTGGGTTCAGCTTGAACGCTTCGCGGTCCACATAGCCTCCCGAAGTCACGACTATCCAGATGGAACATAAGACTCTGGGAACAGAATCTGAAGCAGAGGCTTTCACAATCACACACAGCACCCTGCCTGGATGTGAATCCAAAAATCCTCCCATCTGAGGCACATCAGCAGGGAGGTTGCCAAGATCAAACCGATCAGAAGGGATTCTCGTGATGCCGTCAACGTTCTGCTTCAGCGCTTCGGCAATGCTGCCAACCTCCATTTTGCCTGAATCAAGCAAAGGCACCAAAAAGTACAACAGCTGCAGCTACAGGCTCATGGCTACAGTAGCTTAGCTTCGTGTCCTAGCAGTGGCTGTCAACATAGAGCATTCCATTCACCCCGGCACGCAGCAGCCTGGCAATCGGCATGATATGCCACGAATCTGCACGCAACCTAGCTCCGGACGCAGCCGCACACCAATGGGCTCCATCATAGACGTTTCTGCAGGTGTTTGGTTTTTGTGCTTGATCACTGAGTGAGCTCAAAGTGGCTGCCATAGATGTACAGGGATTCCAGACATGGAAGTCTCAACACCACTGGGGAATCAAATCATTAGGCCCATGTTAATGTTGAAATTGAAATGAAAAGTCCCTGATAGGGGATCGTCATGAGCGGAGCGAAGAGTTCGGACATGGATGTAGGGGCAGAAGCTCCATCGTCGATGGAAAGACAGACCGTGACCAAAACCATCCAAAACCAAGAAAAGTGGAGAAGAGAAAGATGAACAAAAGGCACATTAGGATCCTCCATGTACAAGATCTTTTACACAAAAGAGCACCAAGGAACGTGTTGGAAGCTGCAGCACACGAACATACAAGAGAGAACAATGCGAGTGAAAGCCCACAGACAGCGAAAAAGGAATCAGCTGCATCCAAAGAAGCAACAGACCTGAGCAAACGGTTGCGAGAGCAAATCCGAGCAACCCGAGCAACTATGATCAAAATGCAGGCACACTCCTCAGCCACCATATCCGCAGGAAATGCTGCAACAAATCCTCAATCTTCAGCAGAACATGAAGGAAGTACAAAAATACACTGAAGACTTGAGCAATGACAGAGATGTGAATATCCTGACTGAGCATGTCCACAACTGATAGCAGCCAGCAAAGAGAAGCCAAAGAAACCGTGGCGAAAGGATGGCCGCAAGAGTTCACCGATGAGCGTCATCAGCCGGTACGTGCAAACAGCTGGAGTTGAAGGACACTGCCCCACAACTGCAAATACACGTACGGCCGCTACCAAAGACAGATCACCAGACCATCATGCACTGGAACAGCGAATGGGCTAAACACACATTCGAAGCATGCATTTACAAACGTTACAACAAGCAATACCCAGTGACCATCTGGGACACAAGCGACAAGACAGTTTACTTCGGCAATCAGCCACAGAGAATCAGCTTCACATCGCAGACCAGTGACATGGAAAGAGAAGTCAAAGTCAAACTGGCAATGAGAGTGGCAGACAATGCCGCGATATTCAACTACTTCGAGACAAGGAAGATTCCAAGTACATGCACTTTCACATCCACAACGACTACTTCGACATCATCAATGACAACTGGGTGCAGGGATGGAAGGAAACCAACACCAAAACTAAGCATCCTCAATGTAGACATTACCCATACATGCTGAAATTCGCGGTCATGAGAAGCAACGAGGACTACTACACCATGCGAGCTGCAAAACGGGGCGAGAAGCAGGCAAATAACGAAGATCTTTGACAAAGCTCTCTCTACGTGAGAGCTGAAGTGAAGGAATTAGAGCAGAAAGAAGAAGAGGAAAAGGAATTAAGAAAGAATTGAATAGGAAAGAAAAAGGAACTTGGCCCAGCATGACCGGACTCTCTGTAAGGCCTATGTTCAAAGACCCCGAACACTTCCGAAACACAGTACTGTCAAGTTGGTGTGCTGGGATCCTTGCAGCTCTTTTGCAGGGAGTGAAACTCCCCCAATCCCCTTCCCCAAAGATAAGACGTTGTTACAAAACAGAAGCTTAAAAGCGTAGACTATGGAGATACTTCAAATCTTTACATGGGAAGGTAAGGCCCAAAAAGGTTCAGGAAACCAGAGGCATTCAACAGAGGAATGTTTTCAAGAGTTTCTATAGGGAGACTGGAGACTTATAAACATGTGGGTGATCTATCTCGGTGTCTTAAAGCAAAGGGTCTCTCGGACTCAATGGTCCGAATAGCATCCCTGACGAGACAACTTATGGTCCGAGAGGCAACTGCTTAGAAAAGAATGCTTACATATCTTACTGCTAGCAGAAACCCAGATTTAAATTTCCAGTGTTGAAACTCATATATAATGAATTCACTTGTCTCTTCAGTGATATCCAACCGGGAAATTTGATAGGGAGCACACGGGAGTTTGCATTTTTATTCACCGAATATGAAACCATTTCTATAGGAAGTCAAGCAAACAAATGGCAGAATGATAACTATCCGGTTGAGAACTCATGGAAATCTTGCATTCCGTTCCTGCTACGATTAAAAAATCCTTTTTTACGAATCACTACAGCATTTTTTGAACGAATTCAACAACAAAGGGGGCTTTAATGCAAGATTGCAGCATGAAACTAATATCCTGGGACCCCATACTGTTGGCTGAGGAAGATCCTATCTGGTGCCCCTGGACTTGGGAAAACAAAGGTTTTTTAATTTCTGTTCTGCCAACGGTTTAATGGGTTTTAGACAAGGATGTTGGTCCAATAACCATTGTCTAAACAAGCGACGTTTAGGGAAAGCCACTCAATTTGGGAATCCTTCTTAGATTGTTGGTTGAACAGATGCAAGCACAAGAATGTACAGAATCCAGCTGATATTATACATGGATATCGCTCAGTATATGCAAAACCTTCTAACGGCCAGTAGCAAGCTTATAACAACTCGGTTTCCAAACAAAATAGGACACTACTGCAAGGCCAAGATGGAAAACCTTAGAAGCTGTTCATATTTGCGCTGTAAAAACAGGAGCAACTCACATACCCTGCAAGTACCTGGAACCTTACAAGATTCCATCCGAAAAACGTGGGTAGCAGACCTTACGGTAAACTACACTTCCCGTGGATCTTTAAGCTCACACCAGGCTCACTCGGTGAGTCCAATACACTCCAAAACTCGTTCTCACACTCTCGAAACTCTCCAAGCAAACAACACCTCAAGCTAACGCAGTGCACTCCCTCGCGCCCTCTTACTCACACTTGAGCCAAAAGTAACAGTCGCACAAAGACTGTACATATGCATACTACACACAAGCAACTCTTTACAAAAAGCTTCTAAACACTCGAGAACGCTAAAGAACTCTTTCAAAGCTTCAAGAAACAAACTCCAGTGTTAAAGTCCGGTTCTCTCCCTCTCTGAACACGAACCAAACAACACAAAATAAACAAAACCAAACAAAACAACAAGCAGGAGCGAGGTGGCCATCCAACAAATGGATTTCTTCACCCCTTCTTGGACATTTCGCTCGGAACAACAGGCTGACATCAAGCCTTCTTATTCTTCTTCAGTAAGGACAGACATTTCGAACACAAGTCTTTCCTTAGCAAGACGGATTCAAATGAACCTTGCTCCCACTCACTGGGAGATTGACCTTCTCACACTGCCACAACGTCTTGGGCAATGGTATATCACTCACCGTGATAGAAGGTTCCTTCTTCAAACGACTCTGAAAATCAGCATGCTCACGACGCCGACTCAGACAGCAGCAGGTCACAGCAGGCTGCCACAAACGACTCCCGCTGCAAAGACCATATAGCGGCCGCGGCTTCCAAGCTAAGTGCAGCAAGCATTGTTCCCACATCCAGGGCTATCATCATACCTCAGGACGGTATGAGCGAAACATCAAAGCTCTAGCTTGCTATATGTCTGATCTAAGATTCCAAGTCCTGTCTTACGAACTTGGGGAAAAACGCATGACTCAAAAAAATGCATGACTCTTATGCGGTTAATTCGGCTCTAACTCCTTT